AAAAAACGAAATAGCACTTGTGGGTGGGGGGGGGGGGGGGGGGGGGGGGCTTGTGAAGCAAAAAAGACTGAAATACTTTTAAGAACTTACCAAGCGCATTGGAGAACTTTAGAGACTGTGATAACTGTCGGTGAAAAGTAAACAATTCCTCAAAAATGGCACCTCCAATGAGGAAAGAGGAGAAAGAAAAGATGGCGAAAGCTAAGTCCGCTGGAAGTGCTAGTCCAGCGAGTGTTGTGCCCAGACAGGACACAACGTCAGACCTGCAAAGGATATTAAATGAAGCACTACGCCCTCTGCTGGAACAGGTGACGGCAATAAATCGAAAATTAGACACACAGCAAGCCCAAATTAATGAGACTGTCAAAAAGATAGATCAAACTGAGCAGGAACTTAAAGAAGTTGATATGAATACCAAAAAGCTGCAAGAACAAATGTAGGCAATGGAGAAGAAGCGTCAAACAGATAAGTCTCAACTACTACAGTTGCAAATGGAAAGGGCAAGCTATGCCCTAAGATTCCAGGGGATCTCTGAGGAAAAAGGGGAGAATCTCATACAGATAATGTGCGAAGCCTTGGGGCAAATGGCAGATATAAAAGCGGAGACTTTGCAAAGCGATATTGATATGGTCTTTAGATCATTTATAGAATTTATAAGGAAAAATAATCTGCCGGGAGAAGGGATGGTGAGATTCTCCAGAAGAAGCATGAGAGATCAAATTCTTAAAGCGACTAATGGAGTTACCCTGAAAATTAAGGGCAAAGAGATAAAGATCTTAAAAGATATTCCATTTGATATAAGGAGGAAAAGACGCAAATATAAAGACTTGGTCTTATTTCTACAAAAGAAACAAATTGCCTACTGATGGATATTGCCTGAAGGAGTAATCTTTACGCTCGTGAATGGAAAAGAGAAAATTGACACTGTGGAAAAGGCAAGAGAATTCTTGCATCTTCATAGCTGTCCAGCAGATGTGGAAGAATAAGAAGAAAAAGACAGTCCCAAGGAGGGTGGTGGAGATGGAGCAGAGCCATCTTCTGGCGAAGAATCAGACTCAGATTTGGGGGCTGCGCCCCCAAAAACAGGCTATAAATTGAGGAAGACAAAGGACAAAAAATGAGTTATCATAATTCTGAAGTTCTAAAACATGTTTTCTTAGGCTCTTTATGAAGTCATAGTAGACGATGATTTTATTTAGACTTGAAGTTTAACAGAAGGATCATGAACATGTTCAATGGTTTTACATGAGAACTTAGTTATATAAACATGTAATCCTTTTAAAGCTGTTTGTATGACACCCACTCTTGGGTCTTTAGAGGGTTTTTTTCTTTATCCCATAGTTTGCAGACCCTTCCCTATTTTTTCATGTAGTGTTTAGTTATAGAAAATGCAATAAAAAAATCCCCTTCGGGGGGCCAAAGGAGAAGGGAAAAAAAAGGAATGGTGACTGCTGGCAAATCAGACAAACCAAGCAGAGACGCCATCAGAGTTTTCCACGCTGTGTTGAACTCGCTGAAGAAGAATGAGGTGGGTGCCACCAGTGAATAATGGCTTTTCCTATCAAACCAGCAATGACGGACTGGTGCTGAGCAGATCAGGGCTGCTTTCTTTCAAAGTAACACCCTCGCCCCATGAGAAACACCTCTAGCAAAACATTTTTTAAAACCCTGCATTTGCCCCCACATCGTGTTCCAGGCTGCTTTGCAACCGGGCAGGGGCAACTGCTGGCCCCCTTCCCCCGTGCAGGCTCAATATTTATTCAATCCCCTTAAAGGGATGGGGGAGAGGTTGCAATTTTATACTTTTTTTTTTCAAAGGAAGCGATCAATGGCTCTTTGGGCAGAATTTCTGCAGGGTGCATGTGTCAAAGGTCCCCAGCCTGGGCTAAGGACTTTTGGATGGAAGGGCTGCAGCACAACAAAATTACCAAAAAACCCCTAGTGTATGGCTACCTGCACACTAGTCTGGTTGTTGTTGTTCAGTCGCACAGTCAAGTCCGACTTTTCGCGACCCCATGGACCAGATCCCGCCAGGCCCTCCTGTCTTCCGCTGTCCTCTGAAGTTTGTTCAACTTCATGTTCATTGCATCTATGACACTGTCCAACCATCTCATCCTTTGCCGTCCCCGTCTTCTTTGACCTTCAATCTTTCCCAGCATCAGGGTCTTCTCCAGTGAGTGCTCCCTTCTCATTTGGTGGCCAAAGTATTTGAGCTTCAGTTTCATTATCTGGCCTTCCAGGGAACAGTCAGGGTTGATTTCTTTGAGGATTGACTGATTTGATCTCCTTGCAGTCCAAGGGACTCTCAAGAGTCTCCTCCAGCACCATAGTTCAAAAGAATCTATTCTTCGGCGCTCGGCCTTCCTTATAGTCCAACTCTCACAGCCATACATGACTACTGGGAATACCATTGCTTTGACCATGCGGACTTTTGTTGGCAGGGTGATGTCTCTACTTTTTATCATGCTGTTTAGGTTCGCCATCGCTTTCCTCCCAAGGAGCAGGCGTCTTTTAATTTCATGACTGCTGTCACAGTCTGCAGTGATCTGGGATCCCAGGAACGTGAAGTCTGTCACCACTTCCACGACTTCCCCTTCTATTTGCCAAGGAGTGATGGGGCCGGATGCCATGATCTTAGTTTTTTTGATGTTGAGCTTCAAGCCCACTTTTGCGCTCTCCTCTTTTACTCTGAGCAAGAGGCTCTTTAGATCCTCTTCACTTTCAGCCATTAGAGTGGTATCATCTGCATATCTGAGGTTGTTGATCTTTTC